GGGGGGATTGGGAAAAGGCAAATAATAGAGCATAGATAGACTTGGGGCTGCTAGTGGACTTTGGTGGGGGAAAAAAGAGAGGGGAGTGGGCGGGGTTGGGGTAGGGGAGGGGCACGACAGGACAGAAGATGGCCCGTTACGAGGTTCGGTGTGCTAACAAACAGGGGGGAAACCTGTTTGCGGTTGAACATAATTTATTATATTCTCCTTTCGTTACTGGACGAAGCCTTGGTACCGACACACACCAGGCAAGACGAGTAAGTGGGGCCCTCCGTCATAAAACAGATTAATTTTTAGTGGTGGTGAGAAAATAACTCTGTGTTGTCACTTGATTTAGGAGCCCGCTCATGTCATTGTGTGTCTCTGGGAGTTCTTCGGTCGTCTCGCGTCTGTGCACACCAAGAGAAGAGCTCTTCACATCGTAAGCGGAGATTGCGTCGCTGGTCTTATCAGCGCCTTCACCCAGGGTCCTCATTCGGCGTGTGCGCGGCTGATTTCTTAACCGCTGGTCATCTTGTGTCCACGCGACTCGGCGATTTCATTTGTGTCTGTGTCAGCGTATCGTGGAAGGTGAAACATAGAGCTCCATTTTGTGTTGGTGCATTGGCCGTTCATGTGCAGTAGGTAACGAACTTTGCTATCCAGAAGGTCGAGGCAGGATTCAGAGTAGGATATTAATGCCTTTTTTTTTTCTATTTCTCGTGCATCCTGGAATATCTCGAACAGTGCAGTTTTTTACGGGTGGCTAAGTGCTGTGTCTTTGTAGGGCGTTTGAACTTCTAGTGATACATAATTTAATTGTTGGTAGTTCTGTGCTAAAATCGCTATCGTGTAAGAGATGTGTTTTTCTTTTCGGTGTCCCTGCGACTAGATTTGGTTTTAAAAAAAAACTTTCGTTAGTGATGTGAACTCTGGCTCTTTATGTCTCATTGTTAGGGCACGGTTATCTTTGATGTAGAACTAGTCAGTCAATGGTGTTTCTAAGAAAAAGACTACGTAGTTAAAACAAGCATTGCTGCTCGTTAGTTTTTTCTTCTGTTTCTAAAATATTTAATCTTTACTCATAATTGTTATGCTGCTCTTTGTGTCCCTCTATTTCCGCTACTTTGACACACAGTTGTGAACGTTTCAGTATGATTGGCGATATTTCTTTTATTTTTTGTGTGGTGAGCGATCTAGAAGCGGTGTCTCGTCTTTAGTGTATTGGCCAACACACGTTTCACAAGAAATGAGTTCGATTCTAAGTGGTGCAATATTGTTTAGGCAATTGGCTGTGGGCGTCTGTGCTTTCATGGACTTTTCAACTTACAACGCGAAGGGCATGAGTTCTATTCTCGCACGAGGAAGAACCTGTTGGCGTGTATCTGTGTCTAAGCTTTCTGTTTGGATTCTGAGTTGAAGCAACCTGCCGCTATATTGTCTAAATTGTGTCGGCCAACGTGTATTTCATAATATTATTATACTTTATGTTAGATAAGGCGTTTCTGTACGTTGTAATGTAAACGTATTTCCCGTCCGCGGAACAAACTTATTTCATGGGTAAACACCTATTTGTTGTAACCAATTGCTTTCACTTGCAAAACTTCGCCATTTGCGTAAGCTGATGAGCAACAGCAATTCATGAACGCGATTACATCCAATTACTTAGAACAGGTCACAGAACTCACGACCTCTGCTAGTTTAATGTGTGATCACGTTTATTGTCTTGTAACCGACTTACAGCGCTGGCCGTCTCATGATCTGTAAACGAGATAACTTTCTAAATGATTAATTAATGAAATCTGCGTCGGCTTGAACTAAACTTGTCCAATTGTGTGTTGACTCGGTTATTTTATCCGGTCAGGTCGCCGATCTCACCTGGTTTCGAGATGTGTGTGTGTGTGTGTGTGTGTGTGTGTGTGTGTGTGTGTGTGTGTGTGTGTGTGTGTG